AAAAAAAACAGCGGCCATCATTATTTTTTTTTTCTAAAAGAAAAAAAAAAAAGAGTACCCCAACAAATCAAAGCTCAACCAGGCCAGCAATCTGTTTGTTTTCCCTACGCAGAAAGCATGTGCAATGTGCACATGCGAAAGAACAAGAGGTATAATGGATATAATGTTGACAAAGGAAAAAGAAGGGGGATGAAAGAAATCACGAAAGAAATGCCAGGCTACTTTTACCCCCCCTTCTTACTCCTCATCGACCCAGTCGTCGCCGGCCGCATCGTCAATCTCAATCGTGGTGCCCAGCGCCTCCTTGCCCTGTCGAATCATGTCCTGGAGACGCTTGTTGAACGCCGAGATGCGGACATCGGCGTCGCGTTCCTCCATTTTGCGGCGGGCGGCGAGCTGCTTGGCCTCGGCGTCGAGGCGGGGGCTGTCGATTTTGCGGGGCGAAGGCGCCTCGCCAGAGTCGCCGCGGCTCGACGCGGCCGACGCGGCGCTGTTGGCGCGGCGGTGGGCGCTGGTGCTGACGACGGTGCCGCTGCGTCTGCGCCGATGGCCGCCGCCGCCGCCGCTGCGGGACTGGGAGCCTGAGTAGGAGTGTGTCTGGGAGGGCGAGGCGATGGAGGCGGTGCTGGCGGTGGTGTAGGGATGGTGGTAGGTGTAGGGGGTCGAGGCGGGCTTGGTCGGGGAGGCGGACCGCGGGGAGGCGTACGAGGCGGATGAGGGAGGGCGACGCTGCTGCTGCTCAGAAGGCGTCTCCGGGCGGTAGGAGAAGCGGGGGGCGGACGGCATCGAGGCGCGGCTGCTGTTGGGGGTGGCCGAGATGCGGCGGCCCGTCGTCACCGAGGGCGTGTAGTTGCGGTTTCGGGGCGACGATCGGTGGCCGCTGCTGCTGCTGTTGTTGTGAGCGCGGTCGTTGACAAAGACCCAGTTTCGGCCTAGGTCGTCGGCGTGCGTCGTCTGTCGACGCTTCGCGGCCGGGATGCTAGGGGACGGGCTGGCAGGTTTGTAGGGGTAGCGATGATGTTGCTCGTTGTTGGCCAGGGTCGGCGGCGCAGTGTCGTCGACGACGGCGCGGAAATGGTACGAGGTGTCGTCAGTCTGCGAGGCGGGAAAGTGGCCCGGCACGCGGTGCTCGTAGTCGTCGTAATGGTGGAAGTGGTAGTTGCAGGAGTAGTCGTCGGCGGGTGGCAGGGGAGCGTCGTCGGGTCTCTCCACCGTGGCCCCTGTCAAAGTCATAGCAAAGCCCCGGCCGCCGCCCGCGTAGAAGCCCTTGAAGGCACCCGCTTTGCAAAATTCCCACACGCGGCCGACGACGCCGCCGACGGCACTGATGGCTACGCTGCCCCATCCCTGTGGTGGTGATACGGGCGGGTCGTGGCGGAACAGCGATGTCGGGGCGCCGCCGCTGGATGCGTCGTCGTCGTCGTTGTCGTGGCGGGAGCGCTTCGACCCAAGAGCCGTCCGGTAGTTGGAGTCTGAGTACATGCTCTCGCCCAAAACATTGGCCTCTGCATGGTCCGGCGTGTCGAGGGTGCCGGCGAGGGCGTATGCCTTGACAGGCGTGTGCTGCGGCACGGCGGCGGCGCCAAAGAGGCTCACGACGGGGGGCGCATCATCATCGGCAGTAGCAGCCGTGCCTGGGCGACCTCGTTTGCGCCGGCGGCGCTCGAGAAAGGCAGAAGCCGACGGCGAGGGCGAGGATACGGGCGGTCGGAAGATGAGAGGCGGTGAGGCCGTCGTCGCGCCGGCATCGTTGTGAAATGCCCCCGGCATGCTGAAGCCCGAGGGGTACGTCATCTGGCAAGGCGAGGTGGAATGCTCCCAGCTGTGTGGGGTGAGGAAGTGGTAGGTTGGAATGTGGTTGAGGTGGGGTAGATGGAGGGGGGGAAGTTCATACAGCTCGAGATTTGTATAAAAGATGCTGGACAAAAACTATGCGCGCAGATGTTATTGAGCGCAGCACATGTCTGACCGAGCAAGCAAAGGTGAGTGGACGCAGTTGCGGTCAGCAGTCCAAAGTGCAGGGTGAGGCTGCGCAGATCAGGCTGGTCCAAGCGCCAGGACGTATTATGTCGCTGGTGCCGTTCTGAGGCAGATCTGACGAGATAGGCCTGCTATACGGTTTCCCGAAAATGGCCTGCTCGAGATGGAAGAAGAAAAAAGATTAAAAGGAAGCCGGGCGATATTCGGGCCTGGTCTTGGGCGTGTAACTGTTTGTTGCTGTTTGTTGGGGGTTTGTGTGGTGCACACTACGGGGCCGTGTTTACCGGGCCGCCAGCTCGTGACCCCACAAAACCAATGGCGGCTGAGCAGCTGCCTGGTCCTGGCCTGGAGCAGCAGATCACGCTGGCTACTGAGTACTGACGTAAGCAGCCAAGCAGGGTACGCTTCTGTAACCAGTGTTGGAAACTTGGGAAATGGGACATTGACTCTGGGAGGGGTGAGGGTGAATAAGGCTATGGATCTCCGGTCAAGAGTCAAGTTTTCTTTTCGGGATGGCATGGCCAGTTTTTGCTGTGTTTCCCAGTAACCATATCAACAAATACCCCTCGTGTTCCTGGTATATGAGAGATAAATGTATTTTCCTAAAGAAAAACGTTATATCAAGCCTTTATATGATAAAAAAGGGGTCGAAGATGATTCAAAACCGTTCTTTGGAGTCTTTGGTGACATTAATTTGTGTGTGGTTGTGTCAAAGGTGGAAGTTTGGGCGGGGGAGCGATGAAGCTATCGCCAAATCAATCGCTGCTAGCTACTAAAAATCAGCCTACCAGCTGTAAAAGAGGGGTAAAGGATAGTTCAAGAGCGGCAAAATTACTTGAATTATAAACAGAGATCAAACGTGAGATTATTAGCTAGGCAGCAGCCTTCCTATCAACTCAGATCAAGTCCAGAGGCTGACTTTGATCATATTATAATGCTGTCGGACTCGGCAATGCACGAATGGGCCGCTTTTCAAGCATGGCTCTGAATTCATGGCACCGTTTAATAAGTGGTTCGCATGGCCTTGTGGAGAAAGCCTCCCCAAAGAGGAAGTCTGTTATCGCCAGCCCCGCAAACTGAATGCCACGGCAACGAGACCCTGATGAGGAGGCCAGCCGCGATCATCATCACGATCTTACATATACTCTTCTTTTTCTTCGCTCCATACACACGCAGGGTTGTTAAACGCACACATATTTTATTTGAGTATATGTCCTTGTGCTACTCCATGACCACCCAACTCCGTATACTGTCCTGATAAGCCCCGCGCTCCTCCACAGCGCTGCAGGCGACCAGATTACAGGGATGCTGGCTTATTATCCGTCCGCCATCAGGGATGGGTGAAGCGTGCTCCAGGAATCGAGATTGACCTGTCTCGACGCGCCAAGATTACAACCTCAGCAGAACTCGGTCGATCAGACTCTACTTGTGCAGTATCGCGGCAATCCTAGATGGAGCGAGTAAATCCGACAGAAGAAGGTTTGACTACTAACTACTGTACGGAGTAACGTAGTACGGATGTAGATAAATACAGGTTATGAGGCGGCCCTGGCTGGATTCGAACCAGCGACCTTACGTGGATAGAGTCCACGAAGGCTGCCTGCGACGGTTAACCACTCCGCCACCAAGGCCTGAAAAGATAGTTCACACTTGAAAGTTGTCCCTCGCGTCCTAGGTAGTCCAGTCAGTCTTATAATCAGGCCCTACCTAACAGGCTAGTCCGGCTTCTTCTAGAAGTTTGGATCCATGATGCCCTTTTTGAATTGTCGCTGCAGATATTCCTCGTATATCTTTTGGTCGATTTTGTTGCGCCTACTCCGTACCAAGGCACGCACTGAATTCAGTCCTCTCATTAGCCCAAAATAAAAATGGACCCACTCTTGTACCTAGATCGAAGGCCAGAGCCTGCAGAACACCAATAGTACCATAGCCCCTCCCTCAGCGTGCCTTATGATCCATCTGCTCCCACGGGACGCGCGACATCGCGTACAGGTTGAACGGCTGGCCGACTCGACCACGTCGAACAAGACGACGTCGCCATCAGCGTTCACTTTGATGAGTTCCTAGTCGAGGTAGACGACTTCTCATGGGAGGAACTGGTCCATCTCGACGTTATACTCGACGAGCAAGAGCCATCCGTACTGGTCGAGCGTGAACGCGAGGCCCCGTCGGCGGAATGCGATCTCCTCCTGCGATGCCGTTAGCAGCGCCACGTTGGGCTTGGTCTGGCGGACACGTACGTTGAGGAGCGAAAAGTCGCCGAGGATGCGCAGCCTCTGCGCGTTGTCAAGCAGGGTCAGCAGGGCGGCCCGAGCATATTCCAGTCGGACGGTCGAGTGCCAGAGGTTCTAGATCTCGTACTCGGCCGTGGGACCGAGGGTCCTTGGTCCTGCTTGGTCGGGCCGTCAGCGGGGGGTCGGTTGGGGTTAGCAGATCGGTCTTACCGTCGTGGGTGCAGAAGCTTGCCTGCCAACTGACGTCCAAAACCGACCTGCTTCAAAGCGTGATTGCCTGTTGCAGTCTCTCCTCCGAGGCCTGCGCTGTCCCAGGTGTGAACTGCATCAAGTCGCCCGCAAAAACAATTACTGTCTGCGCCGCTGCAGACAGCGTGTAGGGTGTGGCCGACGCCTTGCCTAGCCAGCCCACGAAACCTACACAATACATCATCATCTCTCCCTGATAATTGGTAGTAATTGCATCAAAAGATCGCAGCCTCCAGTATCATTCAAGAATTATTATACCACACACCAGCCCGTCGAGCGAATCAGCACCAGACTAGTAAAATTATCTAAATCAAGCCAGAGAGCACCAAAGCCAGAGAGCACCAAAGCCAGAGAGCACCAAAGCCAGAGAGCACCAAAACAACAATAAATCAACATCAACTAGAAACTCTTAATACGCACCAACTCTTACGAAACTAACAAAAATCCAAAACAGAAAATAACCTCTAAACAACCTTATATGGTCGTCAACTTCAGAAGGCGCTCAAGCTCGTCGACCGACTCTCCGGTGGTCTCTGATTCCCGTAGTTCTGAAGGTTGTGCAAGCTTGCCAACCGTTCTGTCAATGGTCTCCGACTCGCCGACTTCCGAAATCAGGTTTTCGGGATCCATAGCAAACTGCAACGGCTGAGATACCACTTGCATCTCAATGCGTCCACCTGCAGAGGCATCCTTGTCAGAAACACCAGAACTCATCGTGGTATGGGAGCTTGTAGTCTCAGCACGGCTCCAAACGCTTGAGTGATGGCTATCATCAGAGGATCCACGCTGATTACGAAGGCGGCGGATAATGGAAGAGTTTGAAGAAATATTTGGTGCCAAAGAAGGCACCGGACTGAAGCGGCGAAGAGTCGAGGCAATCGAGCGACCGCCAGTGCTATCCTCAGAAGACTCTTGGCGACGCGGTGGCTTGGAGCTGCCTTCGACAAGCTCCGTAATAGGCTGCTGGTCCGGCTTCCTCTAGAAGTTTGGATTCATGATGCCCGTTTTGAATTGTCGCTGCAGATATTCCTGGTATATCTTTTGGTCGATTTTTTCTTGGTCGGGATGAACCATGTCGAGGTCAGGATCATAGTATTGATCACTTCTGGGATCGGCATCCGGGGTTCCAGCCCCCCCAGCCATGAAGAGTATATTCCGTACTGCCCAGCTGAGCCCAAGGCAGTCATACATCTTTTTGGCGTTATCCAGGGACCTAGTCTCAGCAAAATATTCTGTCCCGTCTGCGATACGAGTACCCGTATCAGCGTCGAAGATGCTGTATCTTGCTCTATTTGCCAAGTAATCCTCCCGGAGTTGCAGCATTGAAGTGAGTGCTTCCTTGCTTACGTGGCACGGCGTTTCATATCGTAGTTCTGTTTTCCCGAGCCAATGGACCGTAAAATAAACCTTCCAGATGTCAGGGTCGCCAGCGTCATTGGCAGTTATCTTGACTGGCCGAAACCCGACGTGGCCTCTGTCGTACAGTTGATGCAAGTAGACATTCAGGGTGAGCATGTTCCACATTTGGTCCGAAGATGATGGGGACCCCACGAGATGCTTAAGTCTCTGAGTGAAACTGCTGCCAAACATTGTGGTGAGGATCGGGATCATGGTTTGAAAAAAGTCGACGCCTTCCTTGGTTGAGTTCATGGCGTGGGGTAAGATGTGTGCAGCTTCGATGCCATCCATGCTTTTCGTGAGAATGCACATGTGTTTATCCCGCCTCTTGACCTAATTGATCATTTGTTAGCTTCATATCAATATGGTGATTATATGCAACATGTGCCACTTACCTGTCTTGCGACCGCTTGATTACGGGCTGTCGGAGGCGATCGGCGGGGGCGTACAGTGTTGGGCCTGTTAACAACCGAAGAACCTGTGTCGGAAACAGTTGGTTGAGTTGTGTTGCTAGGACTTCTCTTTCTTTTCAAACTCCTGAGGCCTCTTCTGGTCGACGGTTGAGGGTCTGGAGTAGGCTCAGAACTTGCAGTTGGCTGCTCTAGTGGCTTCCGCGAGGACGAAAGCCGGCGGTGGGCGAACTGCCGAACACTTCCAAAGGCGCGAGCAACGAGGCGCGATGCCGTGGGCTCGACTGCGATGCTTTCGACAACGCAGGGAGTATCACCCTGGCCAGACGGCCGCTCGGATGTATCAACTGTCTCGGTTACTTTGAGGTTGTAGTTTCCGTTGACGACTTACACAGTGTTAGCCAACTTCTCCTCTGCCACTCATTGGCTACTTACAAAACTTGACGAGATCTTTTGCCCCACCACCAACCCCTCGAAGTTGATCATCATCATTCTGAACTGCGTCAATGGTATCAGGGCTCGCGATGGAAAAAATGGCCAGCTGAAAGGCTCCAAATTTAGTTTCCTCGGAGTCTGCAAATCCATTGAATCTGGTAGCCAGGTCTTCCATCAATTGCTCCTTGTTGTCGTAGTGAGTGTGGGGGAGATTTGCTGGCGCTGGTGGCAGGTCGAGGGCCATCAAGGACCGCCACCTGATATTGACTTCATCCGAAGCATCTGAAGCCATAATTATCAGAGAACTCTGTGCTAGAGAGAAGAGAAGAAGTATGAAGATCGGGGGAAGAAGTGGGAAGAGCGAAGAAAGAAGTATAAAGAACAACTGAAGCAGTGTAAAGAGAAGGGAAGAAGAGTCAAGAGCGAAGGAAGAGGTATAAATAGTAAAGAAGTATAAAGAGTAAATCAGAAGTATCCCTTTGCCTGTAAAGAAAGAGCAAAGAGTCGTGGAATCCACAAAAGTAAGAGACGACAAGGTACTAGACTAAACCTACTCATTGCCATATACCTGGCAAGGAAGTCGTCCGTGGTATAGGCCTGCGCCACAGTACTTTTACGATTGTTGAAATGCACACTAAAGAGAAGTACCTAAGATTTTGCCGTTACGTGATTGGACAGTACCCCTATAGAACACCCCCTTGCTCCTTCTCTGCAGCCACCGGCATAAAGAGTGAAGAAAGAAGAAGAGAGGGTGAAGATGAAGTGAATGTTGTGCCTGCCGCGGAAAAGTATCAAGAGCAGACAAAGAGGTGTGAGGAGGAAGTGAATTTTGTGGCAGACGCCTTGCCGGGTGCCCTGCCACGGAAAAGTATATCAAGAGCGGACAAAGAGGCGGGAAGGAGTGAATCTCATGGTAGGCGCCTTCCCGGAGACGCTGCCGGAAACGCCCACATTAGCAAACGCACGTCGGAGGAAATGCTTTTGACACGGGTCGCGAGAATCCAAGAGTACCTGGACTGAAAGAAGATGGATTTAGAGAAGCCAGGTCAGATGTCGAATCAGTTGCATGTCAGATGTCATCTCAGTCGCCATCTCAGAAACGACTCCCATAGGCGCAGCCATCTACCAGCCACTTATGAGTACATACGCAGGGACCAAAGAAGGCCCATCTCACTAGTCAGAAAGGTAGATTAGAGGCCCTCGTGGACACAAAAGTTCCGCGCCGGCGTGCGTCTGCCTGACTAACCTTGTATGATGGATAAACTTTTCGTCGGTGGCTGCGCCGCCACCACTATTACAATAGCAAACTATAAAGTTAAAAACTTGGTAGGAGCTGCTGGAAGAGATGCAGAAAACGTGGCCGTAACACAAATGCCCAGAAAATAAAGCTTTCCGAGCCACGTCAAAGAAAAGGCTGTTACCTAGAGTTAGACCATGTGTAGAGTAACTAAGAAACCTGGGGTTATCGTAAACGTCAAGTCCAAAGGGGCCAGAGATGACGCGGGAGCGGTGCTAAGAGTGGCAGACGAATTCCGCTTGATGATAGGTCCTTTGTAGATGCGCTGCAGGTGTTACATAGTATTTACCAAGCCAGTCTGAATCAGCAGCCGGTCAATGAGCAGCCAGTTAATAAGCAGCTACTTTTCAGTTACTGATTGACGGGCTGCTGATTATTGACTGGCTGTTGATTGACTAGCTGATGACTTACTGGCTGCTGGCTGAACAGCCGCCTGGCTCAGATCCCCCCCGGATGGCCTCCAGCTACACTTGGATGCCATTTTCAATTCGACCGTTGCACTCGATGCATGATGGAATGTCCATGTCTCAGCATCTTCATGAGATGATTTGTACATTGAGCAAAGACGAGACCCCTTTCGCTGGCAAAAAGGTTGGATGCAGATAGCGA